TTTTCTCAGTGTGCCTCAAGTGTGCCGCACTGTGCCGAGAGTGCCAGTCATTGACCTGATTATGTTTGTGAATAATTTTATGTTTGGCAACCCGGTATTTTGACAGTTCAAATGTTTTGTTTTGCTTGCTGCAATGTTGCAAACCGAAAGCGAGCGATCATCGTCAGTTCCGTGAAGGAAAATCTTCTCTTCCTAAGCCGGCGCCGGTGGTGTAGTGGTAAGCGTGACTGCTTTCTCACCCCAATAGGTCTGGGTTCGATCCCAGCCGAGGTCGGTGGAATTTTTCTGAGGCATAAAAATATCTCGGCCCATACGTGTTGAATGGGTGCGCAGGTGTGGAAGCTGCCTTCCGGCACATTCGATTGCCGTCAATGGATGGCAATCGATGTCCGTCGGTGATTGGCACTAAATTGCAGAACAGAGACCGACAATTAAATAAAGGAATAAAGAAGAAGAAGAAGAAGAAGAAGAAGCTCTACCTGAAAATCAACAACGAGAACAACCGAGATTACGCCAACATTTTCCAATTCGGCCAGTTGCAATGCGTTGAAATCGGTCGCCTCGGCAGGTGCCACGTGTACGGTAAAGGAAACTCTTACCAAACCTCCCGCATTGCCTGAACATTGTCGATTGTGACCCTCTGACGCCCGTTAACGAATGCTTGAATCTGCACAGTGGCAAAAACAATGTAGCTGAAAGTCCTTCGAAGGAAAAACTCTACTAATCGGAGGGCATCAATACAGCCTTGATGAAGAACTCCTGTACGTCAAACCATACGAGCTGTCAAAGACAATGGTCACGACAACTCCAGATCAACAGAAACGACCACTGGGCGTTGGAACGCTTCCGATTCCGTGTGGACCATGCAGGTCCATCTACTCGGATGGGAAGTACCGCAGGGAAGCGATTTACTACGGTGGCAACGTGATCGGCTTACTGTACACCATGTCGAAGGTCTACTGCATCTGAGTAAGCCGGGATCCAGATTCATCGTACACAACCTGGCGGATGAGGATAAGCATCAGAATCTGACATTGGCGTTCAACAGCGTAACTACCGAAACCTAACCGAAGCAGCTATTTCCTGCGACAAGGGTACCTGTGCTTCCTACCTGCATACCTGCAACAACATCTACAAAGGGGTCAAATGGATCTAACTCGAGCATTTACCATTCCGAGGCACACCACTACCGAAAGCAACAGTGTGCTCATCGATGGAGCCATCACCTGGGAACAACCTGCCGCTAGCAACAACAACTACCATCTCCACCCTCAAGGCTGCCCTCAGAGGGTAATGAACCAAATTTAAGTGCAGAAGCACTTGTATTCAATTTAGTTTTTAAATTATCTAAATGAGAATTAGGTGTAAAAGCTTGCTGAAAGTCTCTTTAATAAAGAAAAAAAAAGGTGTAAAAGCTCTATCTAGTTTTCAAATGTAAATTTCTTTAATGTAATTTCCCTTGACCTGATAAAAGGTTCTACCAGCAGGGTATCGTAGACTAAATAAATTACAATTACTAGTGCGGTGGACAAGTCGCTTGGGCAGGCTACTGGAACTCGGATAGGTTGCTGGTGATATCGAACACGGATACGAATTTTGTTCATATAAAACAAAAATATAAATGTTTATACATATGAATTATTCAAAGTAAATTGAAAGCCTGTTCAAAACTAAAATATTTATATTTGAATTAAATGCAAAAGCATTTTTATTTCAACAATATACTATTTGGGTAAACGGTTTTTAGCGTGTCATGCCTTTTTATTTCCTTCTTGTTACATTCGGAAAAGTTGCCCCAGCTTTGCTCAACCTCAACAGAAAACGGCCATCCATTCCGAATCCATTCCGGATCCTCCTCCGATACCGAACATGGAAAGAAACCGGTATGAGGACCAGTGGCAGAAACCGAGGCAGAAACGGCAAAACGACGCTAATTATACAAATTTGCACCGGTTCCACTGAACTGGAATTCCCGGACACACACCCCGACGGGTCCTCGCACCCCGGACCAGGACCCCAATACCCACAGGTCACCCTTAATCGCACCCGAAAAAGAGCAGGAATTAAGATGCCTGCCCATTTCTTTGCAAACCGTTTTATTTTGCTTTACCCTGCACTCAACTACTAAAATTACTCCAAAATATGTATGTTTATTTTAAACATGGGAAGCATGTTTAAAATAAACATATTTATTATTGTTCGCATAGCTGTCAAACCAAACAAAAATAAATACGTTTATTTTCAACACGAATATTTTTGAAATAAACGTAACATTATTTTTATTTTAAACATTGATTTCACATGACATCGGTCAAAACTGAACCTACCCAAAAATGGGTAAACTATGTTGGAAGTGACAAGTTGACAAATGAACAAAGTCGATCGGATTGATTTCAATGTTGTCCATTTGTCAACTTGTCACTGCCAACATAGTTTACCCATTTTTTGGGAAGATTCAGTTTTGACCGATCTGGGTGGATTCTACCCAAATTTGGGTAGTTTTGGAATAGCGTGTTAGCGGAGGTAAAGTTTGCGTATGACACATAAAATCTGTCAATTTCGCTTCCATAGCTGTCACAATTAGCGATTAGCTATAACGAATAGTACTCACTCATGACGATTACTCATTACAGCTAAAACAGCTATTTGTGACCCTCTGAAAGCAAAATTGACTGGTTTTATGCGTCATACACAAACTTTACCTCCTCTTCTTGTATCTTAAATATAAAATTATTACTATTATATCCAAGGGGTAGGTCACTCCGCACACCAATCTTGGGTCATCTTTTTTTGACAGTGTGCCGCATTGTTTGTCAAATGCCTATCCCGGCAACCCACTATTTCTGACATCTGGAATGTTTTGTTTGAAATCGCAAGGATAAATCGAATTGAGGATGACGTGGAAATTTTGGTGTTTTGTGTTCATAGTCCTGTGTTTTAGGGTTTTATAATGCCCTCATAGAGTCAAAGTTGGAACTTCGATGTGGAACATCTTTAGCTTCAATACTGGGATAGGCGCTGTCTTTCAAACTGAAATAAGTACAAATTCAATACTCATAATTTCAAAACACTACCCTTGACTTTTGTTAAAAGGGTTGATGAAATCCTCATTTTTGAAGTGGTCCAAATAGATATAGCTGTATTTTGAGAATTCATCAACACCGCAGATTGCTTGACAGGAAATCAAAAATTATTCGTTATAGCAAATATTTAGTCTAAATTTAGTACGACATACCTTTTCCTCGTAATAACTTTATAGAATGACTTGTATGATGGGCCCGTTGAAACATTAAAACAAGTTTAAACGACACACCGCCTGTACACCATTTTAATAAATTATGTTCAATTTGATAAGATCACAAACAAACACATTTTCCACGGCTAACATGATTTGATTCGTGTACTGGGTCATTAGTTCACCCATTTGCAGTTTGTTTACTAAGAGGGCGTTTTATCATGAAGCTTGCATAAATCGAGAGTGGCTACTCTATATTTTTTTACTTTAAGATTCCGAGTAGAATTTCATTCAGTTATTGAGAGTCAGGGTCGACTCTGATCGAGGTTTAAAACGGAAAACGGAAAACGACATTAGAGTATAAAGAAAGATAGAAGGATTAGTAATTTCCATTTAATTCCACTACCTTATTTGCTTATCCTTGACAGATACGCGTATTTCGTCTACAATGCGCAGACTTCTTCAGTGTCTTGTACTAATACTCGACTGACTCGTCACTTACCCTATTAGCTTTCATAGATATTTTTTGTGAAAAAGCTAGCCGCGTCGAGTTGTGTTCCTTTTAATGACTAAACTTCTAGATAGAGCTGGAATTAGGGCGAAACAGCTTTTGTAAACAATGACTTCTATCGATGATTTCTAGGAACTCAAGGCACGCCCACGCAGACCAACATATCCATCGGATAGGAGAAGTCTTTCCCCACCTGATGAGGATGTTGGTTTGCGTGTGTGAGCCTTGAATTTCTAGGAATCATCGATAGAAGTCGTTGTTTACAAAAGCTGTTAGGCCCTAATTCCAGCTCTATCTAGACTTGTTTCTTGTTATTTCAAATGTGTTTTACTGATTACCAGGGTAAGATGACTAAATGTATCTGGTAACTAGGGCATTTGCAAGTCTGGCACTAAAAAAGTCCAATCTCCAATCGTCGTTGTTCAGCATAAGACCTACAGTTTGATTGCATTTAATTACAACTGATAGGAAATTTTCACCAGCTTAATCGATAAACGCGTCTCGAGAACCAGTTTCAGAAGCCGATCGACACCGCAACCAGCAAGAAATTAATTCACTTACATACGTACTTATTCAAATTAAACCTCCCATCTACACGCTAGCTTCCAGATCGCTCCATTCGGACACAATCATTAACGGCTGAATGATTTCGTCATTAAATGTGAAAAGTGACCACCGCGCACCGGAGGCTGGCCGGCTAGCGGTTCGGCTCGACTTGCAAATTGAGTAAGATATCGATTTCTCTCCATTACCTAGATTTATATTTGTTCGACTTGCTTATGTCTCCGCGCCCGCTGCTGTTGCATTGCACTGCAGTCGGATTGCCACAGAGTCTCCGGGGGTGGCGGCAGCGGCGTGAGAAATTTGCATATGCAGTCATGCACTAAACCAACCAGTCTTACCTCTGCTGCTGCTGTTGCTGGTGATCTTCAAGCAAGCACAAACCCAGCGGAAGCATGCAAGAAGAACCCCTATTTAACCTATTGCACACTATAAATCACGACTCCTCTAGTGCGGTTGGTCTGTTCTTTGGACCTGACTTTTGCTCCCAGCAATTTAATGGAACCGTATTTCGCACACCTCAAGCGGATCTTTTGAAGCCCCATTTACATTTAGGCACCATCCGCATTTCGATCGCAGCAACGCTTCGCGTTGTTTCATTGAACCGAAAATGATCTCCAAATTTTCCAACAAAGCAATCTTTGACCGGCGAATAGGTGAAAAATTTCCCATATCACCTTGGATCGTCAAACAATCAAGATGGGCACGAAAGGAATCCGTTTGAAGATGCTGCTTCCGTTGATGGTGGCCATTGTTTTAGCCGAAACTACCGGCAGCCAGGTTCAATTGGATCCGGAAATTAACCTGCCAGCGATCGTTTTTCGCAAGGAACACGGAACACCGGCCAAGTTTCGGGGAGCTACCTTCCAGAAGAATTTCTGTGCGGCTTTTCCAGTGGCTGATGGCACTTTTCTCACTTCGGCTCACTGCTTGGCAACCGCTGCAAGGTAAGTACACAACTACTGGAAAGTTTCCCGAGAAATTATATTTTTGCTTGTTCATGTTCGAACCAATAGCATTGATCTGGTCGGACTGGGAAACGTGGAGATTGAAAAGATCGGGACCCATTCGAAGTTCGATTTAAAAGTGTTCCAGCTGAAGAACCGAAATCTGACCCCACGATCAAGGCATGTAGGCCTTGACTCCGAGGTCATGGACGATACATGTGCCGTTCTTGTTTTGAATAAAGCTTTCCGCTGGACAGTCCTACCTGGAGCAACTCCCACGCGCTGTCTGGACAACGCCTCGAAGGACAAGATTTGCTTCAAATCGGAGAAGACTCCGGCCGGATTGGACTTTGCCGTTGTTTGCGAAGGAGGCCGGACGCTGCATGCTGTTTTCCACGGTCAGCGTGGTGCCGAAGTCAGCTTTACCGTATGCAGTACGGCTCATTGCTCGTAAGTCCTTCCGTCATTGGCTTCACCTGGTAATCTGACACTTTCATCCTCATTAGGGAATTCGTGAAACAAAGTGCCACAACACGTGTGAAACGGCAGGGAGTTGATTCAGCTGTTCCACCAGCAGATGATTCAGTGGTTCCACCAGCAGATGATCCAGCGGTTCCGGCAGCAGATGATCCAGCGGTTCCGGCAGCAGATGATCCAGCGGTTCCGGCAGCAGATGATTCAGCGGTTCCACCAGCAGATGATTCAGCGGTTCCACCAGCAGATGATTCAGCGGTTCCACCAGCAGATGATTCAGCGGTTCCACCAGCAGATGATTCAGCGGTTCCACCAGCAGATGATGCGGCAGTTCCGCCAACTGATAATGCTTCCCCCACTGCCACTTCCGGATCATCAGGCAATGCTCCAGTCCCAAGTGATTCCTCTGCACCTGCACCAAGTGCAGGGGCCGTTGCTGCTGCAACCAACACAGACACTACTCTCCCAGGTCCAGACGCCAATACTGACGGCTTTCCTTTTCCACCACCTCTACATCAGGCGTTCAAAATCATGCCAAAGAAGTTTCCTTATCCACCGTTGGAAGTAGTTCAGAGTGCCCCGGTTCCAACAAGGGCACACAAGCGACCCGTGTTGCAGAATCCCTATGCAGTTCAAGCACCTAAGGAAAAGTCATTTCCAGAACCTCTTGCTATCATTTCGATGACAACCGAACAGCCCGTACAACAGGTCAAGGAGCAGCCGAACCATTTCGTCTCAAACAACGGTGACGTTTCAGTGCAGCTTCCAATGCGAACCGAGTCCCCGGATTTGTCGGATCTGACGGAGTACGAAGTGCTTGGAACACAAGATGCACCCGTGCTTTCTGCGAACAACGACGTCAAAGCAGAGGAAGCTCCTGCAGCTTCACCCCAGTATGTTGCTACTTCCGATAAACAGTATGCTGTCCCAGCAGCTGTACAGCAGCAAGTTCAAAGACCCAGTGCTGGAGGCTTCGCTATGGCACCGGCAGATTGGCGCTACTCCGTTACACCAAGACCGCAGCGAAGATGCAAAACGACAACCTTCAGACCGTCGTGCCGAGCCCCGCAGCCATCCGCTGCAGAAGCTGCTGCATACAACAACCAGGGACAAATGGCCGCTGGATCTCCGGCAATGGGTGCGGCCAACTATCCCGTATATTCTTCACCTGAAAACTATCAACCGAATCAGGCAATGGGAGGGGCTGCAGTGGGAGCCGCTGTAGCAGGTTCCAGTCGCCCGGTCGGTCCGGATCCGTGGATGGTGGCCGCTCAAAAAGCAGTTCCAACGGGTTCTGTCCAGCCTAAGGACGACGAAAATGAACCCGAAACTGGAGCGGTGGAATCTTCCGCCGAACGCAATTCACTGGCGGTCATTGCTCTCGTAGTAGCCAATGCTTTGTACTTTATGTTGTAATTATTTCAGTAAAGCAAATTAATAAATTAAAATTTGATTGATAAAGGTGACTAATAAGCTGGTCGAGAAAAAGGCAACAGATTTCATTCAATGAAGGCGTGAAACACCGTGAGTTATTCGTAGACACTGCACTGCTTTTTCACCGTGAAGTGACTGAAGTGACGCCCGTAATAAGGGCAGGAAATGGCCCTTATTACCGATGTCACTTCACGGTGATTTACACGGGAATCACTTGACCGTGAGCGACAACTGGTCACTTCACTTCATTTTAACCGAAGAGCGAAGAGAAGTGAAGAGGTGAATGCAGCGTTGAAACATACTCGGCCATAATGCAATGAGAGTTCCGAGATAGTTGTGTAAAAATTTGCACTTGAAATCTGATGTTAATTCCTTGGCATTTTTGAGAATTTGTTTCAAGGAGAGGGTTCTGGGAAGCAAGTTCCAATGAAATTCTTATTTGGCGTCATTCTCCATAGATTTCTGAGGATCATTTCTACTAAACAAGAAGAGTCGAGTCGATTGTCACTTCTGGTCATTGGTCTATTCTGATTTTACAGAAGTGATTCCCAATTAGACCAGTGACCAGTACTTACGCTCGACTCGACTTACATAATAGGGCCCCATCATCTTTCTTAGTAGAAATGATCCTTAGAGATCTTTTGATACATTCCTCCGAATTCACTTAAGTGACATACCCATAGAATGGGAAATCCGTTTCAAACGGAATACAGAATAGGGGTGAGTAAGAGGATAGTTACAAAGGATTTCTGTGGAGGAGATTCTGAAGAACTACGTGGAACAGTCCTATGTGATTGAAAGTGATGATTTAAAAACATTTCAAATGTGTGTTTCAAGGGAATTTATGAGAAGAGGTCTAAGGAATTACTAAAATGAATTCATACTTTATAGGGATTTTCAGAAACTTCATAGAAATTCAAACAAGTTTACGGAAGTCCAGCGAACTTCAATTCCAGATCATCAACCGCAAATTAGTGAGATCCTCAGTGAAGCTTCGTGAACTTCAAAAAAGATTGAGGCAGTCCTATTGCCTTCACAAACATTGTTGGAACTTTGAAAAAGTTCTGACAAATTAAAGGAAATGCTGAAAATGTTAAGGAAGTTTAACATCTTCTTCTTCTTCTTCTTCTTCTTCTTCTTCTTCTTCTTCTTCTTCGCATTTAATGCTTATTGCATATCTTAAATTAGCTTATTGCGTGTGATATTAGCTTATCTGCGTGCTTGATGCACTTTCACAGTTGTTAATTGAGAGCTTTCGATGCCTGTACCATTTATGCATTAGTTTAATGTAAACGTATATGATATGTGACGTTCCATTTACGTGCATCATATTGAACAGAAATTTACACTACTTTTTCGAACTGTGTAGGACATCATTGCTTGCTATTTTCAGAATTCCCACAAGCACAACATAAGCAGCTCTTATTATGAGAAGAAAAAAACTAAAATACTTACATTCGTGACGGTCTTCGGTGACAGTGTCGTATGACAGAGCCTATCATATGACATTTTAGTTTGGTACTGTACTATGATAGCTTGTTTTGCAAGTTTCGAAAGCAAAGGCAGTCAATTATCACACAAAATGTGTCGACTACCGTGACCGTTTACAAAACTGGTTCAGACTACCGGGGAAAATTTTAAGCGTAAGTTTAAATTATGTATGCGTCAGTTCCGATAAATCTTCGGAGCTGGCTAAAAATCTCCTAAATAAAGTTTATTAACAAGATCCGATAAATTCAGAACAGTTCCATGAACTTAAAGAAAAATTAGAGAGCCCTAAAAAGTACAGAGAACTTCAAAGCAGTCCTGAGATCTCCAGAGAATTTAAGAAAACTTCACTGAAAGATTGGGAACTTCAAAGACGCCCAGAGATCATCAGGAAAGTTTAAAGGAGCTTAGGGATGTTCCGAGATCATTAAGACAAGCCGAAGAACCTTTTGGAAAGAAACATGAACATCAGGAAATTATGAGCAGATATTAAGGTAATTCCGTGATTTTCATGGGAGTTTAAAGAACTTAAAAAATAGCTGAGGATCCAGCAAAGATTATTGTAGTTATGAAAAGTTTGGGGATTGTTGAGAAGTTTCATTATATTTAGGAATGTTCTGAGTTCTTCAAGGACGATAAGAGATCTTCAGAGCGGTTCCATTAATTCAAAGCAATTTTCAGGAAGCTTCGTGAAGTTCCAAGAAATTTAGGAGACTTCATGAATGTCCAGAGAACTTCAGGAAAAATCTCGCGTAACATTTGAAAAGGGCCTATCCTCGTTGATCGATTCTCTTCATCGACTTTCTCTTTGGTTTACCACGGCAACATAAACGAATTTCTCGCTAAGCTAGCAGCACAGTTAGACATAAGATGATGCGCCTGAAACAACACCCTAAACGAGAAATTCATTTGCAGTCAGGCTATTCGCGAAAAAGAAAGTCGATGAAGAGAGTCGATCAACGATTATTGGCCTTTTTCTCGTGTTGCGTATGAATTTCGAATTTTCAGACGAAGTCCCATCAGATTCTAATAAGTTTTTGAAACTTAAGGAAAATTACGGGAACTGCCAGGAATATCAAGAAAATTCATGGCAATAACATTAACTGCAGTAAAACTACGGCGACTTTTAAAACATACTGGTAAACTCAGGGAAGTCTAGAGAAATTATGGCAAGTTCAGAGATCTTTCTTGTAGTCCCCATAACATAAGGAAAGCCCATTAAAGATCAGGAATCACTATGGGGAAAATTTTAAAACTGTGATGAATTTGTATTCATAATTAAAGCATAGAGGTAACTCTAAGACTAGTAGGTCCGGAAAAAAACGTGCTCAACTTTTTGGCTCAGCTCTGGTACTATCTTCGGTCCCAAGCTAATCGATGCACCCCTCGAAACATGGAAAATCCACGAACCCCTCATTTTATCTGTCAAACTTTCATAGAAAATCAAAACAAACATAGTGTAGTACTAGAATTCCGACTAGAATGGTATACGTTAATCGTTTGCTTGGGACCAATAGGCTAGTCAAGTAGTGAGCCAATTTCAAATCGATAGCTTCGTATTGATTGTTGGGGCGTTGATGTCATTTAATTTTCAAGAAATTATAAAAAAAAACTCTGGATGTTATGAAATTTCAGGACAACTGCGGGAACTTCAGAGAATTGCAGGGAACGTCAGGAAAGATCAGAAAACTGCAGAGAAATTCTGAGCACATATTTTCTTGAAAAAAATTAAAATATTTTCCATTAGCTTTAGGGCTGTTTTCAGAATTGAAGGAATGTCACAGAAGATCATTGAAAATTTATTAACTTCAGAATTCCCGGAATTTTCAAGAAGTCCAGAGATCTTTAGATTTTTTTTAACTCCATAGAAGTTCAAATAACTCAGAAGTACGATAAATTCAAGAGCTTTGGAGACAACTTCAAGAACCTCAGGAAAGATCATAGAACTTTAGGACCGTTCCATTAATTTCAGTAAAATTACAAAAATATTGAAGAAGTTTCTAGAACTTCATGGAATTTTCTAAGACTACAAGACGCTCCTAGAATTCCAGCACAAATTTAGGGATCTTCAATCTACATGATCGTTAGGGAATTTGAGGAAGCTTTAGGAAAGTCCATAGATGTTAAGGGAAATTAAATACTTCAAGGGAACTACCATGAGTATCTGAGATTGTTTTTCGAAACTTTGGAAGAACTTCAAGGCAGTCTCATTAACTTCAGGAAAATTGTGTGGCTTTTAAGAACTTCCAAGGACTCCCAGTGAACTTCAAGGAAGTTTCGAGAATGTAAGGGAATCATTAGCACTTCGAGGAAGTCTAGATAATTTCACATGCAGATATACATAAATTCCTATGCACTGAAACTTCCGCTTAAGTGTTTTTTTACGCAGTATTCAGTATACGTTCATCTTTTTACGATGTAAATCCTTTATAAGAAAATGGCTCTAATGTTGGCCTATGGATCTAAGATTGGGCCCATCGCTAAAAATGTGCTTGCTATTGAAAATTTAGTCGATTGCTGAATTTATGTATGGGCCCAAATTAGGGGCATTTAGGCCGACATTACATCTATTTCCCCTACCTAACGGTGATTTTTTTTACAACGCAAACTATACATTTTTTTGTGAATCTGGGAAACTGGGAAATTCTGTGAAATACCCCACCACGGGCCTTACTATGAGTGTCACTTTACGGTGAAAACGAAGTGAAGTGACCATTTTTCACTCACGGTGTGATGATTGCCGTGTAAATCAAATGGGAATCACTTCACCGTGAGTGATAAGTATATATGTTTTAGTGAAAACTACAGAAATTACCTTAAGCCTATTTTCATACGAACAATATTTAATGGGACTGTAACAGTTATGCCTGGAAATTTGCAATGAAGTAGGAAATTCTACGCATGTTAGTCCCACTAGGAACTGTTACTTTCCGAGTTGCTTTGGTGGCCACGTTGCGTTTGACGTCTTTACTCTTGTGCTTGCATGAGCGTTCTGCGAACTTTTTTCAAGATCCTGGATAGTTTGTATAGCTTTCCATCATTAAATTATACCAATAATAAATTTATTGACATTGCTACTTCTAAAAACCATTAAAAGTATGGGCATCTCAACAAACTAATGATGAATGCACTATTTACATAGAATATAAACTTCTTAGCATTTTGTTCTACTCCTTAGCAAGATAAACGTAAGCCTAAAGAAGATTGTGCTTAATTATTTTGAGTCCGACCATATATTTATGGCGGCTGACATGCTGTGGACAAAAGATCAATACGTCACATGATCGATCGTTGACCGTGGACTTTGATGATTTCAAGAAATACTTTGAAAGAGTTGAAATGCACTTGCAAATTTCTTCCGTACGGAGTTGACCTTTATACGTATTATTATATTATATAAGGGGCTTTTCATGAAACACATAGACACTATAGAGGGAGTGTGGGGGGGGGGAGGGGGTGGCGAGTGTCTATTAGAGTGATGCAAAATTTGAAAT